GGCCAAGCTGCACCTCCTGGATCTGCAGCCCTGATGAGGAGCTCTTTCCCCCCTCCCCCTGCTTGCTGAGGGCTTCCAAGAGCACCTGCCTGCCAGGTGTCCTCTGCTCCCCCATTCCCTCCTGTTCTCCTGCTCCCCCAGCTCCTCCCTACCCCCCAGCTCCTCCCTACCCCCCAACTCCTCCCTACCCCCCAGCTCCTCCCTACCCCCCAGCTCCTCCCCTGCTCCGCCAGCTCCTCCATAGTCCCCCTTCTCTCCCAGCTTCTTCCTACCTTCCCTGCTCTCCCAGCTTCTCCCTACTCCCCCTGCTCTCCCTACCCTCCCTGCTCTCCCTACCCTCCCTGCTCTCCCAGCTACCCCCTATACTTCCTGATCTCCCAGATCCTGCCTGTTTCCCCCCAGTTCCTCCCTACTGCCCCCTGCTTCCCCAGCTCCTCCCAGTAAGCACCGCTGACTAGGGTGTGAGCACCACTGACTGGGGTCTGAGCATCACTGACTGGGGTGTGTACACAGCGGAAGCCTGCTGTCCCCAGTTCTGGAGACTGGAAGGCCAAAGTCAAGGTGACCTTGAGGTTGACTTCTGGCCCCTTTCTGACTGTCCTCAGTCTTGTGACCTCACATGGTTTCTCTCTGCCTGCAAGCACTTCGGTTCTGTCTGCCTATGGCATGAAGTCCTATGACCTCATCTATTAATGACTTTCTTATAGATTTATTCGGGGGGTCCATGTGTAGATGGCATGAAGTCCTATGACCTCATCTATTAATGACTTTCTTATAGATTTGTTCGGGGGTCCATGGGGGGATCAACATTCAGTTCATCAGAGGGGAAAATGTGCTTCAGCTGAGTGGTCCATGTGTTCCACTTCTCTGGAGATTCATGGATGGAGCTGCCATGCCCAGGATGCCCTTGGCTGGCAGTTGCCCATGTCAGGATGAAGTCTCTCACCTTCACCAGCCCTTTCCTCCCCGTTTCACTGACTCTACTCATGGCAGCCGATAGCCAACTGTCTCTCTGAGCACAGCCCTGTGCTGTCATTGGTTTCATTTATCTGTAGTGGTTGGAAGCTGTTGTGCCCTGGTTCTGATTAGGGAGAGCGTCTTGACAGGCCAGGTCAGCAATGGTATAAGGTAATGGGTTTCTCTGACAGTCACCCCTAGCTGCCTCTCTGACCACAGGTCCTCACACAGCCTCTCAGCAGGCAGCTCAGGGCCCCCAGAACACTCAGCAAGAAGCCACAAGATGGAGTCCTTTAATGTCTCAGCATCTGCTTCCTGTAGTCAGTGTGGCCTCCCTGCTGTCCCTGTCCTGGGAAGGCCTGCACTAGGACCAGTTTACCCACTCATGCCTGCTTTGCTCCCTCTTTGACAGTCCCTGTCCCTGCCTTCCTGGGGACTCAGGTTCTCTGCTACCCCTTGACCAGGCCAGGGCCCACCTCCCAGGCTCCATGTATGGAGGACTGAAGAGAGGATCCCTCTGCCTGAGGTCATTTCTCAAGCTGGGGCATCTTCCTAAGCCAGGAGGAACAAAAAATGACCACGAGGGAGTGGATGTGACCCAGAGCCAGTGGGGCTCTTTTCCTGGCCTTCCCTCTTTTTCCTCTCTGGGCCCCATTGTGACCTTGCATTTGATGGAGGGCACTTGCTGGGTTCCCTGTTGTTGCTGTCATTGCAAGGGTGTAGGCCTTGGGCAGGGGTGGTGAGTGGCAAGTGCCCTGTGCAATTATGAACCTTCCTTTCAAAACACATTTTTTTCTTCCACAGTAGAAATCTCCTTTCCCACTGATTCATTTCGTGTCGGGAAGCCGAGCATGACATGTTAAAAGCCGTCTTGATAGTATTTGATATTCAGTACTAACAACTCCCCACCCTGAAGGAGGGGGCTTTTCTCCCCCTCCCCCAGACAGAGGAGGGGACAATCTGCATATTGGATCTACTAAGACACTAGGTAATTTGCATTAAGCATCCAGAAATTCGCTGCTTGCAATCTGTCACCCTCTGCCGGGTTTTCATTTTATAACTTCCACAACATAAGGAAGAAAGCAAGAGGCAGAGGGATGAGATATGCCGCAAGGGGAGCCGGTGAGACTCAGAAGATGCCACCAGCCCCAGGGACGCTTAGCAAGCCCGCCCAACCAAGCATGATCTAGGACTGACATGTGACTCGAAACTATGGAGTTTCCCTGAAAACACTCATCTCTCTAGAAGCCAAATTCAAGTAAGTGGGAGGGGAGTCCCCAAAGAACATGGCTTTGCAATTGGCGCCTGCTCCAGGTTCCCATAGTGGATGCTCTGATGCAAGGCCTCCTTCTTGGCCTTTCTTGCTGGATCAGGGTCAGGACAGAGTTATGGGTTCTATCTTGATGGCATTTAAGGATACACATACATACTCTCACACACACATACATAAAGACACACACATGCACACACACTCACACACAGACATACACACTCACACACACATACACACACTCACACAGACATACACACACTCACACAGACATATCCACACTCACACACATAGACACACTCACACATACACATACACACACATACACACAGGCACACTCATACACACAGGCACACTCATACACACAGAGACACACTTATACAAACATACTCACACAGACACACACTCACACAGACTTACACACACACTCAGACACATACTCACACAGACATACACAAAAATACATACATACATACTCACACAGACTTACACACACACTCATACGCATATACTCACACAGACATATACACACATACACACACAGGCACGCGCGCGCGCGCGCACACACACACACAGGCACGCGCGCACACACACCCACACACACACACACACACACACACACTGTAGGAGCTTTAAAACATTTCTGAAACACTTCAGCCTCACAATATCAAGGTCTTGGTACAGTGAAGGGGACATGCAGCTGGTACAGGCTGTCACACATTCCCGGGAGCAGGAAAGTTTCCATGTTACCTCCGGCTCCTGGATATGGTGTGTGCTGTCACCCCCCCTCCCCCAGCCTGTTTCCTCATCTGTGAAATGAATCTGGAGTGGTGGTAAGTGGCCTGGCCCATGCCCAGCACGCTCCTGCTGCTGTCCAGCCTGTGTGCTGGAACTTCAGACAGAGGATAATTTGAAAAGGAAACACCACAGCTGTGGTGAGGCATGGCAACCCCTGGCCTGGGCCATACTTTCCAGCCTCTGGAAACATTCTGGGGACATGATGTTCAGAAAGAAGAAACCCAAATGGGTTTAATTAGCAAGATCTAAAGCCTCCCAGATCTGTAGGGATTCCCGTTGCCACACACAGGGAACCCAAGAACAGAGCTCCCTCCCCCCACCTGCTGCAGAATGGACCACAAACACCATCCATCGTGCTGCACAGGTGCTCCATAAAGCTCTCAACAGGAAGGGCATCTCCAAGGCTAGACAGACAGGCAGACTAGCAGCAAAGGACACCTAGTCTCATCGTCTCCGACCCTCCAGAAGCTGGAACTCACTGGGGACATCAGAAGATATGGGAGGCAAGTCCCTGAAGACCCTCAGAGCAGTAAAGGACAAGGAGGATGGCCATCACCTGGCCATGTGGGCCAGAGGAGCCCAAAAAGAAGACAGCCGGGGAAATGCCCACCAGAGCACAGCCACGCACCTGGCTTCTTGTCTTGAAAAACCCACCATGGATGTGATGAGGAAAGGTGACGAGGTGAATGAACACCTGTGGGGTCTGCCAGGGGTCTGAGCTGTCTGAAGCTTCCATCACAGACCTCTGTGGGCCTCAGCCACATCCAAGGGCACTGCTATCACCACCTGCTTCGTCCGCGTCACCATCAACACTGTCCTCACCACTGACAGATGTGACAATGCTATTCTTTGTTCAGTTAACACAACCTCCTGGCTGGTTGGTGAGGCACTCCCTAGTCGGTTCCCACTTTAACTTTATAGACAAGGAGGTGGACTCAAGGAGGCAAACTAATACACCTTGAGTTCACAGGAGATCCAACCCCTGCCTCAAACCCAGGTGTGAGCCTGGCCCAACTCCTCCCTGTCCTATAGCTTAGACACGCCCTATGGCTGCATTCTGGAGCCCTTCGGGTGTCCCCATGCTTGATAGCCACCTCCCTGCCTTGTTCTCATGTACTCTCACCTTCTCCCTGGAGCCCCAATGCTGTGGGCTTACTGTCTGAGACACCCGAGTGGGTGGGGCCATGCTCAGGGCTCAACTCTCTCGGTAAGGTCTGCCCCCTCCACACACTCAACAGGGCATGTCCGGTGTCTTAGGGGTCTGTCCAATCTCATCCTGCCAAGCAGGTAGAAACCTCTTTCTGGGCTCTTCACCCCAACTCCAGGGACTGCAGACACCCAGGAGTGAGCCAAAGTCCCAGAGCAGCTGTAAGGATGGTGAATTGTCAATTAGAACTGGGACTGAGTCCCCTACACTCAGGATCGTGGGCTATCGGTCCTGTTCCCACTCCAGCCTCTCTTGAGATTCCCTTTGGAGCACAGTAGTGTGGGAGGGTGGGAAGCTGAAGCCTTCCTGTAGGGGGAGAGCCCCCTCCACACATGCTCCCCAGCCCTGCTCACAAACCCTCCCACTACTGCCCTGTAAGTCTGCACAAAGACTTACAGCCTCCGTACCTGTGGACGTACCTCCGTACCTCCCAAACTTCCTGTCTTTCACCCCGTCCTTGTTTCTCACCTCCTCTTGGGAACTCCCCACCCCCAGAGAGCCATCTCAGTGCCTTTAAGTGAAAACTACTCCCCCATTCAGCAAAGGGAGGAAAGCAAGGAAGAGCTCAGAGCTCCTAAAAGAGCAGAGGCTTGGTGGCTAGCTTGGCCTCCCAAATCGGTCCTAGAGCCTGCCTTTCAGAAATCCCAACACCACCTCCCCAGGACAGCCCCATCACTAGCAGCCCTGACACACCTCTCCTCTCTCCCTCTCTCCCTCTCTCCCTCTCTCTCTCTCTCTCTCTCTCTCTCTCTCTCTCTCTCTCTCCAGTCCATGGTATCAAGTGGACCTGCAGCAATGGGAACAGCAGCTCAGGCTTCTCAGTGGAGCAGCTGGTACAGCAGATCCTTGACAGCCACCAGACCAAGCCCCAGCCTCGGACCCACAACTGCCTCTGCACCGGCAGCCTGGGTGAGCTGGGGCCCCTGGGGGGCATATGGTACTGGGTACCAGGTGGTGGGCTCTGCTCTCCTGCCCAGTGAGGAAAGGGGTGGGCAGGCATATCTAGAAGCCAGGTTGCACTGGGCGCAGTTGGAGGATGGGGGACGGGACACTGCTGTCCAATCCAGCGAGGAAAGGAATAAGAGGTTTCTGAGGCATGCGGTACCCTGTCCTGTGAATGGAGACCTGAGTTGGGGGTCCTAGAGAGCAGGTAGTACTGGGGTAAAGGGGGCCCTCCTATCCTATCCAGAAAGGGAAGAGACTAGGAACCAGTTGATGTCACAGCAGCTAAGGGGGCGCAGTAGACCCTTCAACCTGGTCCTGCCCCCCCCCCCAGAATCATAGCCTGCTTTGGACAAGAGAGAGCAGTTTCCAGTGAGGCAATAGGGACAAGGAAAAACACACAGCTGCACCAGGAAAATAGAGATATTTGGGGCCTAGACCTCCATACACTCACTGCAAGTGTCCCTAGGAAGCTCCAGCAGGAGGCTCTAGTAAGCCAGCTCTGAGGTTTGTCAGCATCTGCCTGAGTCTGGGACCACTCAAGCCAAACCTGTCGTTAGCCTCTGTCTCTTCCAGGAGGGGGAGGTATCCTATACTCCTCCCTAACGCCTCTGCTTTTCTAACCATGGCGTTTGCTTTGTGGGGTGGGCTCTTCTCTCCCTTGCCCATCTTCATTAGAAGCTTCCATCAATCAGCTGGGTCACTGCTCTGTGAAAGCTTCATAATACATTTGGGAGTCTAGATGGTGAGCCTGAAACAGAATCAGGAAGAATTTGCCTTTTTCTCAAAAGCAAAATGACCCTTGTCTAACAGAGTAGAAGGAGTGATTCCTGAAGATGCGAAGGTCCCAAATGTGGCAATATCTTGTTTATGATCCAATTAATAAAGCTTGCCTGAAGATCAGAGTACAAGCCATAGAGGCCAGGCAGTGGTGGCACACACCTTTAATCCCAGCACTAAACAGATCTCTGTTAGTTCAAGGCCACCCTGAGCTACGCAAAATTGATCCAGTCTAAAAGAGAAACAGAGTTCACACAAAGGTGATTCCAGAACTTGGGATCCCACGCCTTTAATCCCAGCACTAGAGAGGAATATAAGACCGGAGTAGACAGGAGCTCAGTGAGCCTGAGATTTGGTGGAGAGCAGTGAGCACTGGTAGAGGTGAGAACTCTCTAGTGGCTGGCCGCTTTGCTTCTCTGATTTTCAGGCAAGCTTTATTTGTTAGACCACAAACAAAATGTCACCACACCCAAAGAGTTGAGGACAGGACCTGGCTTAACTGAGGGTCACCTCAGATACCTTCATGTTGGGCTGGCCAGATGGCTCAGGAGGCGAAAGTGCTTTGTGACCAAGCCCGATACCCTGGGTTTGTAACTTACTTGATGGAGGGACCCAACTCATGTTAGTTGTCCTTTGACTTCTGCACCAATGCCATGGCCCAGGCATTCCTCCCCATTCACACATACAGAGACATAATGCAATGAAAGATTTAAATAGGTCCTCACCCTGCAGCAGAGTCCAGAATGCTTCTGATTCTAGGATCAGAGAGCTGGCCTGGAGAAGGGCCCATCCCCCACCTCCCTGGGTTAGCCTCTGGTTTCCGGTCCCCAGAACAAGGGTGTGAGAAGTTGGCTTGGGCATGGAGACACAGCCACAGTCCCCGGGAAGAGCCTTCTGGGTCAGAGGGTATCTTTCCAGATGGGCAGTGTCTGTCTGTGGTGGTGAAGGGGATTTTCCTGGAAAAAAGACACCCCACCCCCACCCCCTGGCTTTCCACATGCCACATCCAGCTGCTTTTGAAAAAAGAGCAATAGGTCCAAAGCATTTGGCCATTGCAGGATGGTCACATAGAGCTCCAGGTCTGGGAGTAGATGCCAAGTGCCAAGGATTGTGGTCTGTCCTGCCTGGGGTCTGGACGGGGGACTTTGCAGAGGGTTCTAGCTCTTGGGGAAAGAATTAGCCAAAGTCCCAGCTCTGACTTCATGCCTGTGTGTGTGTATGTATGTGTGTGTGCATGTGTGCATATGTATGCCTCTGTGTGTGTGTGTACATGTGTGCATATGTATGCCTCTGTGTGTATGTGTACATGTGTGCATATGTATGCCTCTGTGTGTATGTGTACATGTGTGCATATGTATGCCTCTGTGTGTATGTGTACATGTGTGCATATGTATGCCTCTGTGTGTATGTGTACATGTGTGCATATGTATGCCTCTGTGTGTATGTGTACATGTGTGCATATGTATGCCTCTGTGTGTATGTGTACATGTGTGCATATGTATGCCTCTGTGTGTATGTGTACATGTGTGCATATGTATGCCTCTGTGTGTGT